CATCTTTCTTATGCAAAAGGAGTGGTGAATGGTTTGCTATCCTATCTCTTCCTTAGATTTCTATCATCTCAATAGAGCAAATTTCATTTTTAATTTCCTCTCCCTTTCTCTTTTCCTCACATTTTTCTTTAAGATCATGGATCATTTCCGAAAATAATTAAATCGTAAATTCTCATTTTTAACTTGATCGTTAATAAAAGAAAAAGAAAACAAAACAAACGAAAAAAGACCAATCAACTTTTAAAACAAAGTCAAATTAGTAAAGCTTAAAATGAAATTGTAAGTGCATCGGCCTAAAAGCGTTTAAAACTCGTTCCTAAAAGCGTTTAAAACTCGTTTTAAAACTCGTTAAAAAAATGACCGAATCAATCTCAAAAAGTAGTTTTAAAAGCCTCAAAATATAATTTAAACCTTCACGAAGAAAACTTCAAAATGTGGCGAATAAAAACTTTAAAAATAGCCCAAACATACAACTAGAAAGTGCTCCAAGTACAGTTCACCCAATCAATGAACAGACCTTCACAGCAAAGGTGAAAACTCACCACATTAAGATTTGCGATCGGGGAAAATGAAGGAGAAAATCAATCCCAAATTAAACATCTTCAATCATAAAAGAACTAAAGTTAAAGGAGAAGGCCCACATCCAGAGGAAATGAGAAGAAAGCTAAATCCAAGCCAAACACAAGAGCCGAAAAACAGATTATCATTTAAATTAAGTCAAGTCCAATACATGGGGAAAACAGAGAAATATTTTTAGCCTTTATCCAACTCCGAAGAGTCAAAACCGAGCCTCAACAAATGGGAAAACACGTAGCAATAATAGGGAATGAACACAGAGCCTCAAACTAATATTCCACCTACCATGCATTTCAGATTCTTGTAAATAGACTACCCAATAGTTTCAGATTTTGTAGAATATACCAATTATACATTTAAACTCACGGGTAGAGCTGAGAATAGGAGCGAAACAACCACCAAACCAACCACAAATAGGCTCACAAAAAAGCTTTCGGGTAGAGCCAGAAAGAGAAACAAAACAACTATTAAACCAACCCCAAACAAGCCCACAAACAAGCTTACGGGTAGAGCTAGGAAGAGGAACAAAACAACCAGTAAACCAACCCACAAAACAACCATTAACCAATCCACAAAACAACCATTAAACCAACCCCAAACAAACCCACAAACAAGCTTACGAGCATAGCTTGAAAGAGGAACAAAACAGCCACCAAACCAACCCAACAAAGGGTACAAGTCTAGTCCAGACAAGAGTGAAACCAAGCCCAACAAATCGGTTAAAATAGTGTAAAAACTTCAGCTAACTCCAGCCTAGAAGAAGCTCAAAATGAACCCAACACATGGGTTAAAGCAAAGACCATTTGCTAATACGAATTTGACTCAAAAGAGCAAAAGAGTCCAAACCCAAACCCGTCCAAACCCAAACCCAACACATGAACAAACCAAACCCAATGCATGGGGCAAAACAGAAAAAATGCTTCCAACTATAATTCAATCCCAAAGAAAAGCCAAACAGAGCTCATCCAAATGGATCGAAGCAGAGAAAAATTTCCTACAAAGATTCAACTTAAAAAAAAAAAAAAAAGCCAAGGTCGAACCTGTCCACATGGGAAAAACAAGACAAAAATTTCCAACATAAATTCAGCCCCAAAGGAGCTAAAACCGAGTATATCAAGCGGGAAAAACATAGAAGCATTTCCATTAAAATTTTATCTCGAAAAGAGCCAAAACCAAGACCACCAAATGGGCTAAAGAGAGCACATCTTTCCGACATTTATTGTAAGCATGAATATCAACAATAGAAGCCTTGATAATTTCATTCCAACATGCATTCGAACAAATGACAGCAAGAGAAACTAGATATGAGCCCCAAAGACATCTTTTCCAACTCATGAAATAGTTTCCAGAACGTGTTATAGCAAGGGGCAGCAAGATAAACAACACAAGCTCCAAATATAATTTCCAGCATGTATTCTAATGAGGGGCGGTGAGAGAAACAAGATTTAAGCTCCAAATATATTTTCCAGCATGTATTCAATGTCTAAACTTCAAAATAAACTAAACTACTCCTTCATTAACCTTTTTTGCAAGAAGATAGAAATGCCTCAACATGCCATCCTAGGTAAAATAGAATAAAGGGAAGGAGAAGAGTACCTCTTTTCAGCAGATTTAAAATAAAATTGAAAGATAATTCCAGGAAAACCACTCCAAGAGAAAAAAAAAATTCTCCTTAAGACTTCAAGCAGCAACAACCTCGAATGATCCACACCTCAAGCACCCGAAAAAAAGAAAAATACAGCTTAGAGAGGATTTTTTCGGCAAAGTAAACAACAATCCTCAAACACTCGACACTCCAAGCGCACAATGATCAGATTTTGAAAAGATTTTAGAAGAGTTTTCTTCCTCAAAAGCCTCTCACAACAAAGACACAACCCTTGGCTTCTCCCAAAAATTTTTCAACTACCTAAAACAGAGATTTATGAAGCTCTTTTATAGATAAAGAAGAGAGGGGGAAACAGCCGTCTACCACCGCTTCTCTGCCAAATGGAACAACAAAAATTGAATCGTCACAATAAAGGAGTAGTAAAAGACTAGAGAAGGAGAAGGGTTAGAAACGAGGCAAAGACCAACAGGTGAGCCGCTCGGTTGAGCTGAACTGGGGAAGAAGAACGCCGCGTGGTGGAGGCTAGGGCACGGGTAAGGTGCGGGACGAGCCGCGGGATCGAGCTCTAAGATGGCTCGAACGAAGGGTTTAAGCATGCGGGTGGAGCCTTAAATAAGGCTTAGGGTTTTAATAATAATATAAGTGATAAAGATATAAAATAATTTAATATTTCTTAAAAATAAAATTCAATTCGTACTTTTCAACCATGCGTCAAAACATAACAAAATTGGTATCATTTTTAGGTAATTTTGATGTCTGGACGTGTTGGCGCGGTCTGTGTCACCACCGGAAGTCGTTTTGACTAACTCATCAATTTACGTGCTAATTTTTTCGTGTCAGAAATATGGCAATATGAATGTCATTTCCTACTAAAATTGGTGTCCCGGACGCGATGCAGTCTATTTCGTCATCGGAGGTCATCCAAAGAAGTTCGCATTTTCACTCATTCTTTGAGCTTAATTGAAGTCCAACCTCGTGCAATTTTGTGCATTTGGTGTGTGTATGTGACGATAAAGTCGTGAGGAGGTTTTCCTAGGGCTTGAGGTCCTATTGGGAACTTCTCCTTGAGTCTTCACACAATAACCCTCGCTCGTACATAAGACGATGGTTTTGAGACCATAAGTGCTAGACATCACAGGAAAAAAGGAAGTGTTTTGAAATTTCTAAAATGGTGGGTACCAATTTGTAGTTTTCTAAGACGGTGAGTAGGAACTCCTAGAGCTAGATCCTAAGACCCTAAGAAAAAGAGTAATGACCTCAAAATGAGGTCAACAACTAATGACTACACATGAATGAATGACATGCATGTTTTATACAACAATCATGATTTTCTATATTATATATTTTCTTACATTCTTTATATGATGCTAATACGTTGTGGCTTTTGTGTGAACATGTATAATTACCTACGAGCATGAATGTTGTTTTTCTTTTGTTATAAAATGTTGTTTTAATATTGATTATTTTGTTGAACTCGTTATTGCTCACTCTACGTTGTTTACTTTCACAAATGACCAAAGAGCTTCAGGATTAGTCGCAAAGTGTCACTTGTACAGCTTTTGCATTTATGACTTCGAAAGGTTGCTCAGTCTTTTGGGTATATATTTTATATATTTTATTTATGTTTGTTTTAGCAGTTCTTTATAGACATGTTTTGATGCTATTATTCTCATGCTTCTTAGTATATGTGAATATGAATAAATGAGAATATATTTAGTATGTTTGCTACGATTTAGTTAAACTTGTTCAACACCCACTGGGCCTTGATTCTGCAAGTCAAGACGAGTGTTGGTGAGAGTTTAGTCTAGCCAAATTATCTGTCTCAGTCGCACCTCAGTAGACCCTTAAATGAGAGTCAGTTGGGGTGTGACAACTGACATTGAATGTCCAAAATGTGCTTGTGTTTGAGGGGCCGATATTAGACACAGGCAACTTCAAATAAGATCTTATAATTTTCAGATATATTGCCTACCTTCTGAGTTGCCCCTATTGATGGAGGCCCAACATATCAGAGATGAGAAGCCCTAGGTTTACTTTCAGAAGACCATATAGAGTTATTTGAGTAGTACAGTCAATTCAATAGTTTAACTACCGATAGATGATCAGACAGTAGTGATGACCTGCAGTGTTATAAATTGGCTTAAGAGCTTAGCGGAAAAGAATATTCCTTTCTAGTTCTTTCCTATATGGACTGTATCAAGGGAGTGGGTGGTGCTATAACTATATCTCTCTTTTGAGGTGGTGATTATATTCCCCTATCTCCTTCCGCATCCTCCCAAATTGTTCTGGCCGCCCGTTCCCAGCCTCGCTGCCATCCCGCTCATCCTCCTCCATCTTCCCCAACCTTCTCGTATCACTCCCAGTCGCTCAACCTCGCTGCCACCATCTGGAGCACAACAAATGTGCTTTTTTCCTGCTGCCCAACTATCATTCCAACTTGCTGCTACTTGGACTGTAGCTTATCCCGCTGTCTCTGCACCAGACAACACTCCTCATGCTTTCTTGCAGTCCCCAACCTTTTGTCCTTCTATGTTTCCTGCTGTCCCGGCCCTCCGTTTCGCTGCCAACTCAATATCCGCCCGTCATTCTGCTGTCCCAACCAACTACAACCCATTTCACTAACACTACCTTCGCTCTCTGACCATCTACCCAATCTCCACCACCCATGGATTGAGCCCTAGTGTGAGTTTGTGTCGTGTTTGTTGTAAATTTAAGTATGTTTGATTGTAACCGCTTAATTGTTTCAATAATAATATTTGTTTTTTTTTGGGTTAACTCTGATATATATGTGACTGATTTCCCTTGTTTGGTTAAACAGGATTTTGATAGGAAGAATGAACAAATAGCTTCAATCTTGAATGGGCAAGCAGCACACTTGTCTGAACTTGAAGCACTTTACAAAGGAGAGCAGCTTCTGCGGAGAAAGTATTGCAACATGATTGAAGGTCTTTATTTCAATCAAATTTGTTTTCTGATTATTTTCATTTTATATTTTCTCTTTGCTTTCCTCTTTTGCTTGCTACAATTTATTCACGAGTTAAATCATAGATATGAAAGGCAAGATAAGAGTTTTTTGTCGCATGCGTCCTTTAACTGGAAAGGAGATTGATGAGAAGGAGAGCAACATTTTAGTAAGGGAAGATGAGTTTACCGTTGCACATCCATGGAAAGATGAGTCGAAGCATCATTTCTTTGATCGCGTTTTTGACCAAAGTGCTTCACAGAATGATATTTTTGAGGATACCAAGGCATGTGATTTAAATATCAGTCTTTGTTTCTTAAAATCAAATTTAAAAGATTCTATATGCAACTGCAGTTTTGCATGCGTTTGAAAATTACATGCCTAATATTCTGTTAATATTAAATTACTATTAACATTCAATTAAAATAAATAATAATTATTTATTTATTTTATTATGTGCAGTATCTTGTACAATCTGCAGTGAATGGGTATAATGTCTGCATATATGCTTATGGACCAGCTGGTTCTGGGAAGACCTTCACAATCTATGGTTCGGACAATCATCCAGGGCTGATCCCAAGAGCAAGTGCTGAATTCTTTCAAATAATGGAACTTAGTCGGTCCAAATTTTCTTTTTCTCTGAAGGTAATAAATAAATTCAGCTTATTTTTTAATTTAAGTGAGAATTATGAATTTTAATCGGTAACAATAGTTTCAACCCTAGTTATTTGATTTTTTAACCTCTCATACCTTCAGCAGTCTCAAGTAAACTTGTTCGAACATAATCCTTTTTCTCGATTCTGCAACGTATTTTACAGTTTTAATGCATTTAATTTTTTAATATAAAATATAATTCTCTTTTTAAATATAATTTTCTCTTCTAAAAAATATTAATATAAACTTAGCCTACATTTACTATTTAATATATATTTGAATTTAATTCTCCTAAGATTAATTTCAAAAGATAATCTTGTAAAGTTTGAATTTTAAATAAATTATAATTTTTTGAAAGAAAGTCTTCATTAAATCTTCAAAAAAACATTATATTTTATAAAATATGTAACTTTTAGATCTCTTTCAATGTTTTTTAATATATATACATATTCATATATTCATTTTCTTTTTATTGTTCTTTTTCTCATTTTAAAAATTCTAGTGATAACTTCAAGATAAAAAAATTGTAAATAAAACTTATCTCTTGGCTTTTAGTATTAAAATTGTCTTTTTTCTGTGACATTGAAAATTGGGCAATCGGTTGGCCACTTGGTCCCATTTCTCACTAAATGTGCTTTCATGCTCTTAGGCCTTGCACACACTGACTCGTGCTCTTGGCCCCACAATGCTCTTTTGAACTCGCCTTCACATCCCCCCAACTCATGATTGCAGGTTTACTAGGGCTCGCTTACTTGAGCCCTCTATCTCTATCCCACCCACTCTATCACTCTATTTTGTTCTCTCCCTCTCTTCCATCTCTCGCTTGCTTAAGAGATTATGTGGGTTTGGTTGGGGTAGCTTTCTGTTTGCATTATGTTTCAGACCATTACTATAACTCTATTTGCGGAACTATTTTCTTACTATATTTTAAAATTTTTATGGTGAGAAACTATTCTTACAATCAGATCTGTTAAGGTGTATTAGTTTTCAAAGTATTGCTATATGATTTTCTGGGAAAAAAGAGTTTATAATTCACACGACAACTTTCTTAAAAGTTGCTTTCTCTTGGTAGCGTTGCAAGCATTTTTACAATAAGTTGCTCCATCTTTGATTAATATATATATTGTTATGAGGTACAAAGAGGACTAATATGTTTAAGGTTAGGGTTATGATATTGTTGTCTTAAGTCTAAATGTTAGAGTTTTCGAGAAATCGTTTACTTCTCGAATTATAGATGCTAGGATTAGGGTTTGGAAGAAATTGCCTACATCAAATTATAGGTGCTCATCTTTTATGCATTTGAGTTGGGTTATTTTATGTTGGTATAGTAAAGATTGTTATTTGCCCAAATTTTGTTGCGAAAATTAGTCTTCGTTTATATCAGTTTCATTCTATTAGCTTTTCGTATTGTTTGACAAATATAGCTCATCCATCTACGCGACAGACATGTCAAGGCCTTGAAAATATCAGCCATTAAAGTATATTTAAGCCAATAAAATGTATTGAGTTATTGGTAAAATAGTGTGAACAATACATAAGGCACACGCTAAATTGGAGTAGAAAAGAGCTGCTTACATAACATCACTCCAACATTGCAGAAAGGCCATTTCCAAGGTCATATTTAGAATACTTCAATAATAACTGTACACTTCTAAGGTGTCATTTAGACTTAAATCCAAAACAAGCTTCACCGATAATTATAACACGTAACGTTTTTCATGATATCTTTGATAGTACTATTTTAAAAATTAAAGCCTGTGGGTTCTAATTAGGTGTAGATATGACAATGAATTAAGAATAGACTTTTATCTTGCGGGCTGACCTCATTGCATTCATAGCTTAATTCTTTTCCAAGGCATTTAAGAAATTGCCAGTGCATTTTTGTTTGATGAAGTATGTCACTTCAAGATAATGTAACTACAATAGGTACATGAGTATTCTAATTCAAGCTCCAGATATAAGCCATAATGCTAGGTATGTTCTAGATAAAGCACCATACACTCTAGCTACATAATTGTTAAACATGTATATTTAACGAAAGTTATCACAAGTTACTCTAAGAAGCCATTTTCAGCTCATGAAATATTTTTGAAGAGGTAAAGTCATACAATCACACAGTAAACCATGAATGGAAATACTAAAGATAGCAAAAAATTTGACAAAATCAAGGAAGAAAATTCAGGGTCTATATATATACATATATACCAAAATGGCGGACGACTGCTCTGCTAGGGTTTCGAATGTTTCGGATGGCGATCGCCATTGATTCTGTCGCTCGAAGCTTCCGCTCCTTTCTCTTTCGTCGACTCGCACTCGTCTTCGTCAGCTCGCGCTCGTCTTCGTTGGCTCGCGTTCGTCTGCGTCTCGACGACGATGCGTTCTCTTCTGGCAGAGTCGCTCGATCCGGCGTCACGTCATGTTCGGCTCTGCCTCTGGCGTCTGCGACAGAGCCGCTCGTCAGCCCTGTTCACTGTTTTTCCTACTGCAGCAACTTAGTTGTAGTTTAACACCGATAGCTCTCCTTGCTCTGATGGCGCCTCCTTGTTTGGTTGAGTCAGACAATTTCTCTTTTTCCCATGCGGTGGGTAACCCTCAGGTGGAGTCCGCAGTGGGATTCCTCTCAAGTTATAAGAAATCTCGTGAGGGTACAGATGATTGTCCTTTTATTAAGAAGAGAAGTAGGAAAGGTTGAAAAACATCAATCTTTTTCTCTGAATCAGAAATTTCTACCCTGACAGATAAATTCAAGTTTGCTCCTATTGAGAAACTTCAATGGGGACATCCTCCTATGGATGTTATCAAAAAGAGTGTTGATGATCTTAAGCTAGTAGACAAATGGAAAGTGTGACTCTTGGATATGAGACATGTATTGATCCAGCGAACAGTGACTGAAGACTACGCCAGGAATTTTCTCCAAGAAATATCTTAATATCGAAGACAAATCAATGAAGTTACTCAAGTGGTCTCCTAATTTTGACCCAAATCATGAAACTCCCACTATACCAGTATGGTTTAGTTTACTTGGTCTCAAACTGCATTTTTTTCACCATCAGGTTCTCTACTCTATTGGGGCCATCCTTGAAGATCATTTGAAACTAGATCTACCTACTTTCAACATAACCAGACCCTCGGTGGCCATAATACTTGTAGAAAGAGATATTACTTTACCTGATGTTACTGAAGTCTGGTCGGGCACAACCCATAATAGTTATTGGCAACAAATCATCATGGAACACAAACCCCCATATTGTACCCACTGTAAGATATTTGGTCATATCCTTGCTAAATGACACAAATTTCATCCTAATCTGAAATCTAAGGTTCAAGTGAATAAGGATGGGTCTAACCTTACTCCTGTGGATATTTTAGTTCCACCTGAGGAGGATACTACCAGACAGGAGGTGTCTGTTGCAACTGAGGTCCCCCCATGACACTGCTGTTACTGTTATTGCGAGTGATGCGATGCCGACACCTACAAACTCCATACAAAATAATACTGATGAACTATTATTTATAAATGATAGTGTTCAGACTGATAATCAGGAGAGCCTCACAACTTTACTTTTTCAAGAAGTATCCGGTGTAGTGGTAACTCATACTTCACATATTGTAGAATCTATTGTGGGTATTATTGTTGGTAGTCCTTCTGCTTCAGCTCTATCCCATCAGGCGGATTTTTCGGAGGAGGAATGACAGGTTTACACTTTCAGGAGGAAGAAGAAGAATGAAGATCTACTAGAGCTTAGGAGTCTTATGGATGATACTTTGGTTACTACGGGTAATGGTCAACACCTTACCAATCTGCTAGTTGAATCATTACCGAGAACTAGAGTCAGAGGCAAGACTAGATTGGGATGACCCACACATTTTCAGCGTCCGGGTAGTTTTTGGGTTTCATTTTATTTATATATGTACCCATCTTTTAAATTTTTTTTATGTGTTGTACCGTGTGGGTTGGGTTTTTAGGCCCACCCATACAAACCTATCTAGATCTTTTAGCCCTCGGGCTTTTTCAGTGAACGGAAACATTGGATTCAAATCTATCCAGAAAAAACATGCTACTTTTTTTTACGCCAAATATATTATATATATATATATATATATATATATTTATTTATTTATGTACCCATGTACTTATTCATAATTATATGAATTAATTGTTATCATGTGAAACATTATGGTAAAATATTTAATTATTTCTTTTTCATTTATTTCAATTAATTGATTATAGTTATTTAAGTTATTACAAAACTAATGTGCCCCCCTTCATCCTTGCATTTTCTTCCTTGATTTTGTCAAATTTTTTGCTATCTTTAGTATTTCCATTCATGGTTTACTGTGTGATTGTATGACTTTACCTCTTCAAAAATATTTCATGAGCTGAAAATGGCTTCTTAGAGTAACTTGTGATAGCTTTCGTTAAATATACATGTTCAACAATTATGTAGCAAGAGTATATGGTGCTTTATCTAGAACATACCAAGCGTTATGGCTTATATCTTGACCTTGGATTATAATACTCATGTACCTATTGTAGTTACATTATCTTGTAGTGACATACTTCATCAAACAAAAATGCATTGGCGGTTTCCTAAATGCCTTGGAAAAGAATTAAGCTATGAATGCAAATAGGTCAGCCCGCAAAATAAAAGTCTATTATTAATTCATTGCCATATTTACACCTAATTAGAACCCACAGGCTTTATTTTTTTAAAATAGCACTATCAAAGATATCATGAAAAACATTTACGTGTTATAATTATTGGTGAATCTTGTTTTGGATTTAAGCCTAAATGACACCTTAGAAGTGTACACTTATTATTGAAGTATTCTAAATATGACCTTGGAAATGGCCTTTCTGCAATGTTGGAGTGATGTTATGTAAGCAGCTCTTTTCTACTCCAATTTAGCGTGTGCCTTATGTATTGTTCATATTGTTCACACTATTTTACCAATAACTCAATACATTTTATTGGTTTAAATATACTTTAATGGTTGATATTTGCGAGGCCTTGACATGTCTCTTGCATAGATGGATGATCGATATTTGTCGAACAATACAAAAAGCTATTAGATTGAAACGGATACAAACGAAGACTAATTTTTGCAACAAAATTTGAGCAAATAACATTCCTTACTTTACCAACATAAAATTACCCAACTCAAATGCATAAAAGATGAGCACCTATAATTTGATGTACGCAATTTCTTTCAGACCCTAATCCTAACATCTATAATTTGAGTAGACGATTTCTCAAAAACTCTAACATTTAGACTTAAGACAACAATATCATAACCCTAACCCTAAACATATTTGCCCTCTTTATACCTCATAACAATATATGATAAATTACTAAATTGTCCTCTTATCCCTGAAATAAGACTACAAATTATATGACGGGCTTGGCGTGTCTAACATTACTCCCGTCCCAAAAAGACACGTTTTCTTTAAGGTGGAAGGGACAATTTTTGTGGGGTTAGTTGTAGGGCTCTCACGCGACATCATAATCTTGCAATTCTTTCCATTTAATAAAAAATTCTTAGTGGCCCTCATAAGTTTGAAATACTGTCTTGTGCACATCCTTTGGTCACATCCAAATTTGATGGTCTATTGACTTCCACTTCCACTCAATCTTGGAGAATACCACAACTCCAAACAACTCATCCAGTGGCTCATTGAACACTGGAATCTTTGCCAATCATTATCATGTGTCTCTTCATTGCCATGCATCTTTATCAAGAGTCTCAGCTCTGCGTCCTGAGTTGTCCTCATCATGGTCTTGAGCATCACCAAAGTTTTTTATAAACTAGGGTTATTGTGAACCACCACCCTCTTATCTCTCTGCTAGATACTTTGCAGTGTCAAAATCAGTCCCTTATAAACTCTCCTGGTCTTCTCCACCTATTCCCGTCCTCAGCTCAAATTGCTTGTTATTCTTGGTTGTAACGTGAGATTCTATCACGAAGATGGTGTGATCAAGATATCTACACCGCTATCCTGATGTTGGCTTTGTTGCTAGCTCTTATCGTGGCTGTATCGATCAATCTCGTCGAATTATAGTAATTGTATCGTGTTTGATCTCGTCTTTGGCTTCCCCACTGGCTCTTATGGCAATACAGTCTGAATTGCTAGATTATCTGAACTCGATCACGTTGTTTCTCAGGAGCCGATTGCTCTGATACCAATTTGATACGAACAGAGAAGAATTCGCACAACAAAATTAGGGCAAATAATATTGTTTACTTCAACACAAAACAATGCAACTCATATGCATAAAAGATAAGCACCTATAATTTGAGAGGTAGGCAATGTCTCCCAAATCCTAACCGTAAGACTCAATACCACAATCCCATCATAACCCTAACCCTAACCCTAATCATTTTAGCCCTATTTATATCCTATAATAATAAATAATAAAATACTAAATTGCCCTTTTAGCCTTGTGCTTAAATAAATCTGCAAATTATATGGCGTGCTCATTGTGCCTAGCCGAAACCAATTAATGCTTATCTGGCGTGCTCATTGTGCCTAGCCGAAACCAATTAATACTGATAAGCTTTTGATTGTAGGTGGTTGGGAGGAGATGCGCCTTATTATGGGCATGTTAAATTGAGGAAATATTGCAAAACGGTTGAAATTTTATAATGGATGACGGAATTTCATAAATTTCACCTCAAACTGAAGTGACTGTTTCATGTTAAGTCAACCTGATTTTTCTACTTGTTAGTTAGAGATGCATTTGTTGGCCCGGTGCTGACTGATATTTTAATTATCAATTGTCTTGTATAAATTTAGGGTGATTTACATGCAAACCGCCTGATTCTTATGCATTTATATATCTAACACCTAATATTTCATGTTTACTTTTATAACACTTTGGTATCATAAATCTATGCATGAAGAGGTATATTTTAATTGTAAAAAGTTAATAAGGTTGCATTTTTTTTGTGATATTCATGCAAATGTGAGATTTTAGGTGTTACATGCAAGTAGGTAAGAAATGTGTGGTATGCATTGTAAATTCTCCTACATTTTTTCGATATTCCATATTGTATTGTCCAAGTAGATCTTAAATTTTTAATATATGTTGCGACAACTTTTTTGAAATTTGCTATTAACTTTACCATTGAGTTTAAGTAACTTTGTGTCAACTAACTTGGATTATCTTGCAGGTTTACATGGCTGAGTTATATCAAGAAACTCTTGTAGATCTTCTTCTTCCAAGAAATGCCAAACGCTTAAAATTAAACATTAAAAAGAACTCAAAGGTGATTTCCATCTTTCCTAATGGGGATACTTTACTTTATTTAAAATGTTTAAATTTCTTTTATTTTTTTGTATTTAAAAAAGAACAATTTTTTTCGTGGCTTTTTAATGACCGTGATTGTTATATCCATAAAATAGAAGCTGAGGTCAAGGTGTTGTGATACATGTTTTTCATCTATTTGACTTAACCTTGAAGATATTTTTGCTTTTCTGTTGTAAAAATCATGCAAAATCAGTCAAATGTGGTGCAAAAATCCAATTTTTTGTTTGTATTTACGTGTAATTCTGAGTGCAAAGTAAACATTTCCTGCGCATTCTAACTTATAAAGGTACGGTATGAAGTAAAACAACAAAACCAACTGAAACAACAAGACACAACCCTTTATCCCACTAAGTTGTGTTGCCTACATGAATTCTTTTTCTCCATTATGTCTTATTGAGTGGTATGAAATAGAACTAATGCAAAAGAAAAAAAAAAAATTGTTAATTCCAAATACATCAGATGTTTTCGTTTCTTTTCAAAATATATACGAAACCTCCCCCTATTGATTCATGTTGTTTCTTTCACTGTGATTGGAATGTATGGTAAAGAGAAATAAACCAGGAATATTGAACCGACTAGTATCGGTTTGTTCTGTAAGGAAACTTAGGGGAGGAGACAGGAGCGCGAGATGAAGAGAGCGGCGAGAGGATTTGATCTATGATATCAAGAGTTGGGTAAATATTGATATGTATGTATCATGCTTAACAATAGGAAAAGTCAATTGTAGTATAGATCTAATTAGCATAGAACATAATACGGGGAACTAGAATCAGAATTATATTCAATAGTAAGAAGCCATACTATAATTGAGAAATATAATCTCTCAGTTCGCTTTGAGATGGTTTCCTTTGCTTTTATCTTTTTTCATGACCCTACAGAATCAATATTTTTTTCAAGTGTCTCTAATCGATGAATAAAACACTTATATAATTAATTATTTTAAAATCTTCTGATACTGGAGTTTAACTAAACAACAATGGGAAATCAGAAGGTTATTGCTGAATTCAAAATGGGAAATACAACCAGAGAAACAGAACTTTCAAATTACAACAAATAATGGAACACGACACTAAAACAGTGGTGGATCCATGTTGGAGGGGTGTTGACTAGGGCTTGGGCCTTCATAGATGTAGCGATGGGGTGGTTAGTGGACTGGATAGTGAAGAGGCAAGATGGGGAAGGGGCTGGACTGTGGGAAAACAACAGCAAGGCAACTGTAGCTTGCTGTCCGGGGCGGCGGCAAGCAGGGAAAGGCTAGGTTGCGGGGAAACCTTCGGGATGACTGCTGTGACTTGCTGTCCGAGGCCGCTTCAAGTAAGTAAATGACTGAATTGTCGGGCAAACTGCGGGAAGATGGCGGCCTCTTGATGTCGTCAGTGGCAGCTAGCAGGGAAGTTGCTGGAGCTGCAGGAAAATAACGAGGAAGCTGCAGTTCGGGGTGGCGATAGGGAGTGATGCAGGAAAGTTTGAGATAATAATCTTACTTGGCTTACGTTATCAGAGGAGCGGGGTGGTGAAAGGGAGTGATGCACAAACTAAGTCTCCAACCATTAAATCTATAACCTGCTTCTCCCCCTCATCTTACTCGGCTTACGTTATCAGATAATAATATCGTTAGTGGGAACTATACCTAAAATTACTGTGAAGCAAGTTGGCTAATCTCACAAGTATATGTGTCGATCAAGTAATATGCATAAATAAGTTTATGTATATATCTCACAAGATAAAGGTCAAAATATTTTTAAAAAATAAAGCTCTAGTTTACTAATCCGCTAAGTCTACTTTGAAGATCAAATATCATATGTGAAAAGTCTTAAATCTTAATGCAGAAAAAACAAAACAAACTACGGTTTTGTGAAGTGTTTTAGATTGAAAGGTTCATGCTCCTTCAACACCGGCCAAGTCGTTTCTCAAAGTGTTAACTACGGAAACCACACTATTGTTGACAACCAGGGACAAATGTTTCTCCTTAGCCTATGTCTAGGTGATAAGATGAATTGAAAATCCTATATAGTTAAGTTTCGCTTAACCATACGGTGTTTCCTAGAATTCTTCAGATACAGATCTAATGATAATTTGTCGATTCCATTAGATTTTTGTGCTTAACTTTTTTGTTCTTCTAGGCGACAAGTGGAAATCCTATATCACAATACATTTTAACATCTTATCATCTCTGAATTGAAGTAAATTAAGCCTGGAAAGATAATATACCAACATATAAAATTCATACAAGGAAAAAGCATCGAGAGAACCAAATCAACGGAATGAATAATGAGAAAACCACATGTCCCACATCACAGGTTCATGGAATGAAGTCAATCACAATGTATAAGAAAAGATAAAACAAAAATTTTCATTGCAGGTAAAACAATAAAGATTGAAGTGCAAGCGATCCAAAACACTCACCTAGAGCCAATCATTCCTTAGCAAGACACCCCGCTCCTCTTTGCTCAATACAAGAGCGTAGCAGAGCACTGCATGATTAATGAATCCTAATCATTTTCCCATCCTTGATAGCATTCAATGACTACACTAAGATAGGAAGTACAGGGGATATTGGGGCACAATAAAACCAATTAACCCTAAATATTTCTCATTCTCTATGATTTTTTTCTTACTAAATTGAGATAAGAAGCGCACAGACTCACACCTACCTTAGATTTACTTGGGAAGGCATTGGCCTACTAAGCGTATTGGGGCACAGTACCACCAATGAACCAAAATAGAAAAATGTGAAAGATTTGAGTTTGCTTACACACACACATCAAGATGGAAAACATATGGACTCACATCCAATCAAAGTGGCCAACAAGGTGATTAAATCAGAGTTTGAAGAACGCAAACTCAAATCTAGCCTGAAAACTAATTAAAGGGGAAAGACAATCTGAGGGGAAAAATTGATCTAATTTTTTTTGTTTTAAGCTTTGTTTAAAAATTTTTAATATCTTTTGTTTAGAAAATTTTTGTTCTTATTTAATTTATATTTTTGGACCAGTGTCATTTCCTTAAGTTTCATAACTCAAAATTTGAAGAAATCATTTTCAAGTTATATAAGAATCGTGTTGTTAGAATATATGAGTCATATAGAATCCTTGCATCAGGTTAATGAAAATATTGCTTCTTTAGTAAAGAACGTAAATATTTGAAGTAGAATGAATCTAGAAAAAATTGAATATACGCAATTGACTTCTAGTAAATAACACATACCAACCACATATATACATATCAAAGTGCGATAACCAACATAAAAATTCTATGGGCCCTATCTTCAAACTAAAAGTGGATATATGTTATGTGTCCCTGTATCTGGACTGTAGTTGTAAAGAAGTTTGGAGTCTTATATCTTTTTGAGGTGATGGAAATCCTCTTTTTTAAAACTAATAATTTGCATTGCTTGGCTTGATCGTCTGCTTTTCAATTGATGATCGGTACAAATCCATTAAGGAGTGATGGATGCCCAAACAAGTTCCCCAGACCAAACTATATTGATTTTCCTTCCCAAAAACAACATGGAAAATCATTATAGCATAGAGATTGACAAATGTAAGTCAATAAACTCGGGTAAGAATTTCACCAAAACTCATATGCTTGCATAAGTATCAAAATAAAAAACATTTGAAAAAAATTCAAATAAAATTCATAGCAAAATTCTAGTTAAATTTCAAAATAAATGCAAAAGAACAACAAAATTCTCAAACATAAGGTAATGTATGGGTTGCCTCCTAAGATAGCTCTTGGTTTAACATCCTCAGCCTATCCTAAAATCAAATCAACCCTAAAAGTCTTCTTCTATGATCAAAATTCAAATTCAGTAATCCTTGATCAATCGCCCAATCCTTTGATGGCCCTGAAATTTTCACTAAATACTCTTATTTCATAATTTCTTGCAATATTTTCCTCTTTGTTTGATAGCAATTATCTAGAGGGTATGTAGAGGGTTTGTTCAAATTATCATTTCTAAGATACTTTTTAGATCCAACATTCTACTAATTAACTCTCCTTTTAGCATATTAATGCATTCTCCACTAGTTGCAAGAAATGGGTCCCTAGAATGTAAAACAATGTTTCCTAGATCTTGCGTTGGATTCTCCCTATGCTCTTCAGGCTCAAGATTTAAATCTACTATGTTACTCTCCTGCCTAGAGCTATCTTCCCTGGGGGCTTTTCTATTGATGGTTTTATAGGCTCGACTCTCTCTAACAATACTAGGGGTTACCTAATAAAGAAAAGTAGATTCATCCTGAGTCATTATCTAACAAAAGTTATCCTATACGACTTGCTCTTCACGATCTAAATTCTTAGATTTTGAAATTTTTCTATCAAATACCCTTGCAACCACATCTACACTATGCAACTGCCTCTTACCTCCTTCTATAGAATTCACTTTAATGTGGCTGGATAACATTCTTTGGGGTTAATTTCTTAATAAGTTATCCAACTGCTTAATTTGATTTTTTTTATGGTTCTCGAGGCTACAGTTTGACTCTGTAACTGATTCCCCAGATTTACAATCAATTCTTCCAAATATCAGTTTTCATAAAGGTAGTCACTATCCTGGTTATTCTAATTTTCTGCAGATTTGGCTTTGGGGCTCCACCACAGCTTGCTTTCTACACTAAGGTTATTATTGTCTCAATTTAAGTTTGGGTAGATTATCCATTTGGGGTTATAGGTATTGGAATAGGGGTGATCAAACTTAGTTTTTATGTCGGGGTGTCAAGTCTCATGTGAATGCTATTAATCAATGAGTTGACATATTTTTCAAAAAGTCTAAAATAGTTTTCCAGAGGGTTTGTTAGTCTTATGTGTTGACAGAAAAGTTTTATTCTGATTTTGATATATTTTTTTGAAAATTTAAGAAATAAACACAAGAATAAAATAGTGGGGAAAACAAAAATAATAAAAACAATAAAAATTATTTAAACTTAGACCGAGTATTTCAACTGAAATTCTCCTAAAATTAGAAAATTTTGATGACTTTTCCTGGATACGGTGCAAAAAACTTGATGTCTGAAATTACTGTGAAACAAGTTGGTTAATCATGCAAGTATGCATGTAGATCAAATAATATATGAAAACAAATTTACGTATCAATCCCACGAGGAAACTATCAAAATATTTTTAACATGTGAATTTTTAATTTACTAACCACTAAGTTTGGTTTGAAAATCAAAAATCAGATATTAAAAGTCATTCCTAATACAAATAGAAGAAAACAAATTAGGGTTTTGTGAAGTTCTTAAGATATGAAAGATTCATACTCCTTTGACTCCAGTGAAGTGATTTCTCAATATTTTTTCTACAGAGCCAGAATTTGGAAGAGATTTTTTTTTTGGAAAATCCATCTTCCTGCTGTCTTCTACAGAGGCGGAAGTTGGTGAAAGATTCATGCTCTTATGACACCGGAGAATATTTTTCCATCTCTTAATTGATTTTGTTTAAACCATCCATATTTGGCTTTTTAACAACAAAAAGTGTAGGAAGTTATGGCTGAATTTTAGGAAACAATCAACCAATAAGGAGGGATTTCTACTTAATCTCGAGAAAAATTAAGTTCTGCTCACAGTTTTAACACTCCCTCTCAATTGAACGAGTGATATTTATAATTCTTGTATTTTTATGTTTGATGTTGGATGCCCTTTTATTACAATATATGGGCTTTAGTGTTGCCTTTGTGTTGTAGAACTAATTAATTGGATATTTATTTTTTATCTTACTCAAAAAAAGATAAAATGTATGTTGTATAAATTTAGCAAATTTGATAAAAGTAATAGGCTTTTAACATTACCAAAAGAGAAATAAATACAAATGATAGGTTTACCTATTATTGATCTATTATAAATTTAGCAAATGTGATATAAGTAATTGGTTTTTGATAATACAAGAATAAAAATAAATACACATGATAGGTTTACATATTTTTGAATATTATACTTTGGAATGATGATTTCTCATAATCAATTTGGATTTATGCCAGCAGTCTACTATGGAAGTTATACATTTATTGAGAGGTTTGGTGGAGAAGTTCATAGATGATAAAGAGGATCTACATAAGATTTTTATTGATTTTAAAAAAAAACTTACAATAAGCTTCTAAAAGATATCCTTTGGAGAGTTCTTGAGATGAAAGGTGTTGATATGACTTATACTCATGTCATTAAAGATATGTATACCAAAGCTGTTACTTGTGTTCGGATAGCAGAAGGATTGACTGATATGACTTATACTCATGTCATTAAAGATATGTATCCCAAAGCTGTTACTTCTGTTCGGATAGCAGAACTTGTGATCGAAGAGAAGGAGGATTGACCAATTATTTTCTTATTTCTATTGGATTACATTAGGGATTGACTTTAAGCCCATAACTTTTTCCTTTAGTTTTGGATGCTCTTACTGGACATTTACATGAGGATGCACTTTGGTGGATGCTTTTTGCTGATGATGTCCTTCTCCTGGATAAGACGAGAGACAAAGCTTAGGAAAAACTTGAGTTATGGAGGTCTACATTGGTGTCTTAAGGCCTTCGTTTCTGTAGAACTAAATACATGGAATGTAATTTTAGTAGTAGTAGTTCTAGTGACACTAAATAGGACTTGCGCTTATTGTATAAAAAATGATCTTAATTTACTAGAACTAAATGAAACTATGACACTAAATAAGACGCAATGGAGAAAAAAGATTCATATAGCCGACCCCACGTAGTGGGATTAAGGCTTTGTTGCTGTTGTTGTTGTAGTTCTAGTGACTGTTGTAACTTTGGGCGATCAAATTATTAAAAGGTGTGAATGCTTTAGATATTTCGGGTCTATTGTTCAAAGTGATGATGATATTGATGGGGATGTTATTAGTAGAATTCAAATTGGTTGGTTGAAGTGGAGGAATGCTTCGGGCCTATTGTGTGATAGAAAAGTACTGCTTAAACTGAAAGGAAATTTTATAAGATGTTGGCCTTTAAAATAGAAGCATAAAACTAAGTTAAGTGTTACTGAGATTAGAATGATTTGGTGGATGAGTGGTTTTTTACTTAGAGACAAAATGCGAAATGAATATATCCGTGATAGGGTTGGTATAGCTCCACTCCAGTGACGGACAAAATTAGAGACGGACAAAATTAGAGAGAGTCATCTTTAGATGGTTTGGTCACATTAAACATCGACCATCTGATGATTTGATTAAGAGTGTATATTTTTTAGATTCGACTTATGTTAAGAAAGGCTGAGGTAGAGTTATAAAGACTTGGGCATATTATATAAAAAATGACCTTAATTTATTAGAATTAAATGAAAATAGGACACAATGGTGAAAAAGGATTCATGCAGCTGTCCCCACTTAGTGGGATAAAGGTTTGTTGTTGTTGTTGTTGTATGCTTTGGAATGATGATATGATATTTAAAGTTAAGGATGTGTGATTAAAATAGACTAGTGCCTTAAGAGTACTTTGCGATAAGAGAAATCATGGAGCCTGAAATGATAAATTCTATAAAACTATAATTAAGTTGACTTTTTCCCTTATTATTTTTATTTTTTTGGATCCATGTTTTAGGTGGTAATTAAGACACTGATAGCTAAATTGAGTACAAGATAGAGACGAATGCTAAGATAAATTTATGGAAAAATTAAAAATGTTTTGTAGAGGAATGATTATATTATGACGTTGGAAAATAATTTTTTTTTATTGGTGCTTGCTCAAATAAGGGTAGAAATTGCTCCAATAAGATGAGCAGATAATTTTTTTATATATTGTTGAGGAAAGGAGTAACGGAAGATAGCATGTATATAATTTGTGCATAAAAATTGTGCAATATTGGTTTAGTACTTTGACTAACACTCAACTCGAAAATGGAGAATGAGGTCCAACTCCAAATAATTTGTGAAGGCTTACAATGATGATGTTTTTGATGATGATGGTGAATCATAATCCTAGAGAGACCTAAAGGCCATTCTGGACTCTAACATTGTGAAGGAAATTTAATATAGAAACAATTTTAGTATTTATAAATAATTTTATTATTGATCTCTAGACTTCTTTATTCATTACTTTATGCTTCCTTATTCTTCTTTATGCTTTCTAAACCATTTAAGTGGCCATTGCTTTGAATCTTTCTCTTTCATTCAGTAACTTTGCGGTTGCTTTACCTCCATGCTTCATGCTTCCAAGAATTTTTACCTCTTATTTCCTCTCAAAGGTAAGATCCATGCACCATCTTATATGGGATTGAGTGAATTGCCTCATTCACCTATGTCGTCTCTTTCATCTAAAGCTGGATTGAGTGAGTTGTAGTATTCTGTTGAATTTTGTTATGAGTTTTGTAATCTATTTAAATTATTTATTTGGGTCTTGCTGGAAGAAGCTTCTAGGGTTGTTATGGATATAAATAGGTTAGATTTAGTGAATTTTATGACCTTGCAGTACACATTTCTTTATGTGAAAAGGTTGGGATTTGGGGGGCGCAGGTGAGATAGTATTAATATTTTTGCCATGCGTTTTGTTGAGATTAAATGGAGTAAGAATGATGCCAAGTGTACTGAGGAAAATAACAAATCAAAATCCCCAGCGGAAGGATATCTAGAAGAGACTCTAGGCGTAATTTGTGATCTCATCTGCAGATATTCTAATACACCCTTGGTAACCAAATTATTAAAAATCATAGATGATTTTTTATTGGAAAGGAAATTAACTATATTTAGAGTGACTCAAGTTCTACTTTGTATTTCGTATTCATATTTAAGATTATCCAAACGAATAGTCCAACCCTTAATGAAAATGCATCTAGAAGTCCTAAAATAATCTAATGAATGAAATGCATTTAATTTTCATTAATGTAGTTGATTCAGATCAATTCTTATCAATGATTTGTTAAAATCATAATATATTTAAAAGTACATGAGAAATGCTAGAAAATCTCTAATTTCTTATACAAGTAATTCAGTTATATATTGCACAGTCTAGATTTTTCTCAATTATGACATGGAAATCATAAAATGATCATTTACCCTTTAAATTTTGTTTTTAATGTTGTTTCTGTTTCCAATGCTTGCTCGAACCGGATATGTTTAATTCATTGCAACAGAAATTTTATGTTGTATATAGAAAAAAACTTGAGAAAAGACTTTTGTGCGTGTCTTATTAGTCATGCTAAACTACTCTTAGAAACTGTGTACTTTCTGGTATTAACGATCCATATGGTTTTCAGGGTATGGTTTCTATAGAAAATATCACAATTCTTGAAGTATCAAGCTTTGAAGAGTTGAGGACATGCATTTTGAGGGGAGCTGATCAGCGACATATTGCCGGAAACAAAATTGATGGTGAAAGTTCGAGATCACATTTAATATTATCTATCATAATTGAAAGCACCAATCTTCGAAGTCAAACTCTTGCTAATGGAAAGGTAAATGTTTGACATGTTTGTAGTTTAGTTAGGTGCCATTTGGTTGAGCAAATTAGTGGTGTATTGTGATTCTTTTGCAGGGATTTGAGAAAATTATGTATTTGGTTTGAAAATTTATAAATACAATGTAAATCCTTAATTAATTTGAAGTTTACACTGCAGTTCATTTTGGCGATTTGGTAGAATTTGAATTGCATCATTCATATAAAATGTTATAAGCAAGTAGTTGCTGCTCACGACCGCCGCCCGTTAACTCTGCAATCCGCCAACTCCCGCTGCCCACCGCTCCCCCCCCCCCCTGCCTGCAAATGCCGTCATTGTTGCCCGCCATCCCTGCTAGTTGCCGCCCTCCGTCACCTTCCACTGCCAACCTCTACTGCCACAGCCACCACCGTCTGTCGTAGCTGTTGCCCGCAGCCATCACCGTTCGCCGTTGCTGCCACCTGCCGCTGTCGTCCATGGTCCTTGGCCCAAGTAAATATATTATTTTCAATTTACTTCAAATCAAACAAAAAAATATAAAATCATACGTTTATTTTACAGTGAACCAAACGACTCGAAAGTATTTCAAATATATTGTTATCATAATACCCTGCAAATCTTTTACATTGCATTTCATTTTTCGCAAACCAAACGACCCCTTATTTTTTCATATTTGCAGCAAATTTGATCTTCCTTTTATTTTTGATCGATCACCATTGCACTTAAACTCCAACCCCAACTCATCACGCAAGTCACAACCCCCATAGAAAATATCTTGTTCATTAATTGAGATGATAAAACAATGACTTGGGAGCCATTTGGAATAACTTTTAATTTTGTTTTTTTTTTATTTTTATTTTGTTGAGTTCATATTTCAATTTAAAACAAAATATCTCTTGTATGATATAACTAGTTATTAAAAAAAAGACTCAAATTAACTTTTTGATATTTTTGAGTGTTCTTAAAGACAAGTTAATTTATTTTTAAAAATAAAAAATTAAAAAAATACACTAAACAAACATATTTTTAAAATAAAAGCAATGCCAAAAATAATAACTAGAAAATAAAAGTGATCCCAATGAAGCACGCGTCTTTGAATTTACATAACTATTTATCAGCCAACAAACATTTTAAATTAGCTATTTATAATTAGGTTTTGGAGAAAAATTTATTGGTAAGGTTGTCTGGTTCGAATTTATTTAGATAGCACTATTATTGAGATAATAATGCTATTCGGATAACAATGCTATATGTCAAATGTAGCTTGTTTGGTTCAATGTTTCCTTAAACAATGCTATCTGATTAACATCTCTTCTTCTTTTTTTGTCATTTATTTTGACCATATGAAATTTTTGTATCTACATGCCATCAGATTTTGCCAATATTTAAATGTCATCAAAATGAAACCAAAATATCATTTACAGTGTTGTTTTTTAATAATGTCTAAAACCAAATATATTTTGATAGCATAACGTTAAATAGTTTTTTCTGTCAACCAAACAACTGCCAATCAACAGATCATGAAGCATACAATTAATCAAAGCTCAGTTCTTCCGGAATTGTACTTTCTTCTTTCTTAAACACACTTGCTTCTATAGACGACATGTAACTTCTTTTTTTTTGAATGTAGCAGTTTACCTTTGTGGATCTTGCTAGTTCAGAAAGGATAAAAAAGACTGGATCTTCAGGAAATCAGTTGAAAGAAGCACAAAGCATCAATAAATCTCATTCTGCTTTTGGAGATGTGATCAGTGCTTTGTGTTCTGAGGCTCAACACGTTCCTTACAGGAATCATAAACTTACGATGCTCATGAGTGATGCTCTTGGGGGAAATGCCAAAACACTTATGTTTGTGAATGTGTCTCCTGCAGAATCGTATTTGGATGAATCGTACCATCATCTCATGTATGTTTTTTGCAGTATTCATTTTGATTTTCCAGTTGAATTTCCATTTTTTTATTGCATTTTTTGGGAAAGCTATTATTTTGGATTTTCAGTTCCTTCCATTGATCAGCAATTGTCTTGCCGAGTTGAAGGTTTTAGCGCTAAAATTTATCTTTTCTTCAGAAGAATTTATAAAAATGAATTAGAAAATGGAAAGATATTAATGGAAACAATCTTACTAGGTGCTCTCGTTATGTGAAATTCGGTTCAGCCTTTATTTGGGGCATCATTGAAATTTTTCTACATGTATGGAATATCTTTGCACACTTTAAATTCTTCATTAAGTCAAACTAAATTAGTGAATTTTTTAAGGCAATGTTCTCAATTTATGGTGTTTGTTTGTCTGTGTGTGCTTGTTTTGACTTATTTTTACGGTTTATTTTCGTAGTCTTGCAGCTTTGGTCGAGTTATTTTTTGTATTGATCAGTCAGTGCTCTATCCATTCAAACAAAGTGCCGTTAAATGATTTACCTGCTGAATTCCATGTAAATCATCAATGCAATTGTCTTCGTGCATAATGCAGGTTCGCTTCGAGGGTAAGGTGCATACTAAATAATCCAAGCAAGAACATATCTTCAAAAGAGCTCGCCCATTTAAAGAAATTGGTTTCCTATTGGAGGGAGCAAGCAGGAAAACAAGGGGATGATGAGGAACTGGAAGAGATACAAGAAGAAAGACAAACAAAAGAGAAAAACTGATCACCACTTTCCCTGCTTTTATCAAAGTAAAACTTCATTTTGATCTGAATATATATCCCAAGTCAAGGTTTTTTGGACTATTTTGCCTCTAAGTTAACCGAAATAAATGTATATATCAGTTTGGATATATAGTGGGAATCGGGTCGCCGGCGAAGGTTATAAATTTTGTACATTAGGATTAATTAGCTCCCTAATGCTGCATGCAGACAACCTTCTTCACTTGCACATAAAGCTGCATTCTAAGATTTAGATTTTGTTCTATCGAATAATGTATGTGTTGATTCAGAACTCAATAATTTGATTGGTTTCATCCAGCATTAGTATGCGAATGGAACTTTACTGGGTTCCATTATTATGGCAGTTGGAGTTGTCTCAAATTTTTTGAGAAATGAACTAGAATTGATTCACATTTCTCAGTTCAGTTATGGTTTAATTTTAGGGTTCAACTATGATCATGAGATCAATGTTATTCTCCATTTGATTTGCCTTTTAGTGGAGCATGATTCTATTTTTATATCCGATCTCATCAAAGATAATTCAATTTTTATCGATCGATGAACATTAGCTCTTAAATTATTTATAAGAAAATATATTAAAATATTTTGCAAATATCCCTCTAAATGACTTCTGTTTGATTTTATATTTTTAGAAGAAAATCGATTCAGGATGTACTTGAATATTTAAATGTTTATAAGAAAATATATTAAAATATTTTGCAAATATCCTTCTAAATGACTTCTGTTTGGTTTTATATTTTTAGAAGAAAAACGATTCAGGATGTACTTGAATATTTAAATCTGATTTAATTTTAGAAAGCACAAATTTTAAAGAAATTTAACTCTCGTTTTTTAGCAGAATTGACTCAATGCATTGATTCTTTGTATTTTACAAGCGAAAATTGAATCATAGTTTGTAAGAATCAACTCAAATTTATTAAAGTTCAAGCGGTTGAGCGTTGGACGAATGAGAGAGAGATAAAGAGAGAGAGAGATCTAGAGAGGGTTTAAGATCACAATAACATAAATTTTGAGAGAGTAAATTCAGTAGTCTGTTATTTGATAAAATGACCCCCTATCTATATGTTCCAGGGGTATCTCATAAAATTAGATGTTTGTAGTTGTTTTAATAGGGATGTTACAAGTCATTATTATATTCTTTCATATTTGTAATCAAGGCCGGAACCTTTTCATATTCATAACTGTCTGACACTATTCATTTCATAATTCCTTGAAGCGGGTTATTTAATGACCAATTAATCTTATCATTCGGTCGACCACAAACATTTGGTCGATCGACATCCATTTGGTCTGTTGAGCTGTTAATAGCCGTCCCTTCCAATGGAATTCTGGATAGAGGCCCTCCTGTCGATATGATGAACTTGGACAATCAGGCAGAGGGTGTATCACCATAAGCTAATGAGCAGCTCTCCTTGAACATGAAGCCTTCTCAAGGGATTAAAAAGGTATTTCGTAGGGTGCCATTTGGCTATCTTTGTGGAGAATTTCAAAATCGATTAAGGGAGCCATTCATGATTAACTGTTCATTAAATTAGGTGCCTTTAATTCATTCATTCGATTGTGCTTCCATTCAATCGGCTCGACGTTCCGACTGAAAGAAGCAAAACTTGGTGTTTCTTTCATTTGACTATCCCGATAAACAATCTTCTGGTGCTCATACGAGAGACCCACTGGATTTCCTTATGAATCGTTTGGTCATATTTTTCATGTACAAATTTAGTTCCCCGATTTTCTTACTTATTCAAAGTGATAACTGCGAAAAGAATAAGAGAATTAATGCAAAAATTGATTTGTTTTTTTTGCGTAACAAGTACTTTTAGTAATTGAACTGTTTGGATTTCTATGCTAGTAGTTCCTATAAAAAGGGCGTGATCAACACTTCTTTATCACTTTCTAACTTTCTTGCTCTTTAGTCAAACATTAACATAAGAGATTTATGGCAAACAACAATAGACCCATAAATGAGGTGGCCATGATAAATGCCTTCCAGGTGATGAGGGCCGACCAGGGTGACAAAAAGGTCAGAGGGATAAGGTCGGCCAGTAAGCTTAAAAGGCTAAGAGGAGGGAGAGAAATTGGTTGAACAAGTTGTCTGGGAGAAGCAAAGGGTGGAGAAAGGGGCTAAGTTGACCGACTCAATGCTGCTTCACCGTGTGATGGGGAGCGAGGCTAAAGTGCATGCCATTGGTGCAATGGTTCTTGTTTCAAATTCAATTTTTGAGCAACCGGCTCAGCAATCATTCCAAGTGGTTGTAGAGACCCAAGTTTAGACATGTGAAGGTGTATCCCCTTTTCCTTCTATTGGTGAGACCAGTAAATCATTCATATTATCAACTCATCGATAATGGAAGCTGGTTAACCCTCTGTTCCAGAGGCAGTTGAAGGAACATTAGTTATGACCCATGGTAGAGCCACACATGATTATTTATCTAGCCTCGGGGATGTCAAGATGGAGATTGAAGATCCCAACTCATTGCTTATGCACAATATAACAATAGTTCTGATGGTATTTTTCACTTATATTTCCTTATTTTGCAATAAAACAAAAAACTTGATCTTCAAGAAAAATAAGAATTTAACTTTTTAATTTATATAAATTTATATTGGGATACGACACAAGTATACGTATCTTTATCAAGTAATATAGGACTTTTTTATTAAGACCTGAATATCAAACCCACAGGAAAGATTATACAATATGCACTTATTAGAAAATTTTTCTATTTTTAAAAAGATAATTACTTAAACTAAAAATGATTTTTTGCAGGAATTTAAATATAAATATTTTTGGTATTTTTGATATTTTAACAAAATAATAACAACTTAAAAAGATAACTAAAGTTTTTGTAGAAGAAAAATTCTTAATATGAAAATATCTTTCTTCTTATCATGAATCAGTA